CCTTACAAAAATTCAGACAAAAAATAAAAATAAAAACGGAAATTGCGATGGTTTTATTCTGCGTAATTTTCTGCAGCTTTGAGCTAAAAGCCAACCCAAGTGGCAAATGTATGTTTGACGAATACCAGACGATAGCCATATTTGCAGTTCTGTCTCGCTCTAGACCAGCCAGTAACGACCTGTTTGCAACGAAGCGTTCCACACCTTCGCTAACTCCGGTGCGACTGAACCTGCGGACATCTACATTGCTTAACGCATGGGCAATTTCTTCAGTTGCAGAAAGGCTAACTCGTGGCACTGGACACGGTGGACGGATAAACGGAGACGTGGAAATGAGATTCGCTTTCATGAATTGTGTCACAGGCAGAAAAGAAGACAAGGGCCGAAGAGAAGAAGAAAGAGATGAGGAATAATACGTGGCACGATGGATAGAGAGAGAGAGGTAGGGAGAGAGAGAGAGGAGAGGGAGGGGGAGAGATGGGGAGAGGGGAGGGGGAGAGAGGGGGAAAGGGGCAAGGAGACGGGGAGTGAGAGAAAAAGGAGATAGGGGGAGAGGAGGAGGGAGAGAGGGAAAGGGGAGAGACGGGGAGGGGAAAGAAAAGGGAGATAGAGGGGAGAGGAGGAGGGATGGGGAGATATATAGGGAGAGAGAGGGGGAGAGAGGAGAGGAGGGAGAGAGAGGGGGACAGGGGAGAGAGATAGGGGAGAAAGGGGTAGGAGAGGGAGAGAGAAGGGAGAGGGGAGAGAGGGGGAGAGAGGGGAGGAGGGAGAGAGATGGGGAAAGGGGCGAGAGACGGGAGGAGAGAAAAAGGGAGATGGGGGAGAGGAGGAGGAGGGAAGAGGGGGAAGAGGGGGGAGATAGGGAAGAGAGGGGGGAGAGCTGGGGGGAAAGAGGGGGACAGGGGAGAGGGGACAGGGGAGAAGGAGAGAGGGGGAGAAAAGGGTAGGGAGAGAAAAGGGTAGGGAGAGAAAAGGGTAGGGAGAGAAAAGGGAGAGAGATAGGGAGAGAGAGATAGGGAGAGAGAGAGAGGGGAAGAGAATTTAAAAAAAAAGAGTGAAGAGAAATGGAAAGGTGAGGTTTCCAAGAAGAAAGAGGAAAGAGGAATAAGAAGGCGTGTATTTTTGGAGAGTACCTTTAAAAAATTCTTTGACTTGTGGTTTCAGGGAGTTATAAATAGACTTTCAAATTTTGATGAGGGTAGAATAGATAAAAATGAACATCTGAATAAGAGAGAAGGACGACTTTGCCCATGTAAATTCAAATAAATTATCAACCATGAACTGATAGAAAAAAAAAGAAAGACCCACCAACAAACACACACACACATACATAATAATAGCTAGCCACTCGTATCCGAAGATGCAACTCTGCTAGGGCGGCTAGCTAATCCCCATAGCAGACACCTGCTTAGGTACGTTTGACTTTGTTCAACACCATGAGAGCCCAATTGTGTTTTATACTGCAACTATGCTGAGCGGAACTTAGTTACGTTTTCTGGGAGAGAGCGCATTACCTGGCGGGAATCAACAGTCTGAATCAGGCCAGTAGGCTCAGACCCTCGGTCACGAGGATTTGTGACTTCGAGCTAGCCGAACCGCCGAGGGCTTCCACGAGTTCCGTCTACCCAAGTTCACTCACAGTGCTTAGATCAACACGTGGTATGGTTCTCACTCACTTACCAAAGGTGCCGCACGCTGGGATCACCTCCTCCGGATCGATAACATCAAGAAGTCACCTTCTTGACAAATCGATCACAGTGAAAAAATATATATATATATATATATATATATAATCGACTCTCCCGACATATTCGACGTATGAGGGTCAAGCAAATCAGTCTCCAGGAAACCAACAGCCCGACACCGGCACATGAGATTTGATTATAGTGGTGAAGGCCTCGTGCAGGACCATCCACACTTTTTGAAGGGACGAATACAGAAACCTGGTGCACCGAATGCCACAAGGTTCCCAAAGTTGTCCTTCTCCTAGACCAGTTACCATCCAAGGCTATAGAACCCAGTCTGTCCTGCTATTTTACCCAGATGGAGGGAGAGGAAGAGCATTCATACCTTTCCCAAGGGTATTAGCACGTAAATGAAATGTAATGGATTCGACTGGAATTCGAACTCGGCTCTGCGATTCCTCAATCCAAGCCGCTATCCATTACTCCACCGTTCTGTGATTTCCATACGTTTACCAAATTTTGATAAGCTGGTACAGTTACTTTTACTGGGGTGCGTGCTTATCTTGGGTGGAAAATTAAAAGTTTTATTATTTAACATAGAAAATACTGCTACGATTTAAAAAAAAAAACAATTTAATGATTGCAATACAAAATACTTATTTAATAAAATTGCTTTATTTTTTTTGCATATATTTTATTTAAGTTTTTATATATACAAGTATTCCGTTTCGAGTTCGCTTTGCGTTTGCGAGAACTATAAAGAAATCAGAAGGCCAAACGCTTCAGAAAGTTGGAATTTGGCTGCAGAAAGAAATGTTTACGCATGGCCTTTTGTATGTTGCATGTTCAAGAGTAAGAAATTCTAAAAAATTATTCTTCGCTGTTAAAAAGGAAAAAAATTCTCAAAAATATTGTTCAACATGAAGTCCTATAAAATTAAAGAAATAAAGTGAAGTAAGGTTTATGTTGCCCAAAAAATTATATATAAATATATATATATATATATATATATATATATATATATATATATATATATATATATATATATATATATATATATATGTATTGGTCTTTGACACGTTGATGGTGAGTTATCTTTGTTGCTTTTATCACAATCAGCCTTCCAGCCATGTGTATAATATCGATAGAGTGTCCTAAACGGAACCCTTTATTTAATCTGAGGGGCTTAACTGTCCTCGTTCCACTTTACATGTCTCGGGGTATCAGCTTAATTATTGGTCACTCGTTTCCACTAAGTCCAAGCACATAATACCCGACTCTAGTGTTGATTGAACTCACAAACACTATGTCACCAACGAACCAACGCTTTAATCTACTAACCACTAGTTCATGTAAGACAATTTGCTGTAGTGAACTTGGAGTCTTAAACTTAACCTGCCTGTTAATTCATGCTGCATCTCTTGTTGCTACTGTCTGTCCTGTTTTGATTGCTGATGCTGTTAGTAACTTGCTGTTATATATCGTAATTTCTTTTTTAGCGATCCCCATATTGTATTTACTTCTATGCTAATCCAACTAAGGCGGTCGCCATAAGCTAGAATATGTGCTGATTCTTTCAGACGCCTAACTAAAGTGTAATTTATTGTACAGTATGTTCACTTAATTCCACAGGGTCTGATGGCTACCCCTTTCCCCGCTATACATGATCAGCTATGCCCGATTTCATTGTTTCACACCTCACTACGGCTTTCGATGTTCGTCCAACCATACACAGGTGAATCTACACCTGAGGTAGGCCGAAGAGGAAAAAGCCCGAAGCCTTGGGATAATGGCAATAAAGATGAGTACAAGAGTACGATTAGAATTAGTCTAAATAATGATAACGCTTTATCCCAGAAATTCAGACAGGGTAGCTTATTTTCCATCCGAAAACGGTCGGAGAAACTTTCATCTCTCAAAATTCTGTTGTCAAATGTACAAATCATAATTATGTTTTCTGGTAACCCATTATGTTCGTAAAGGCAACACATGTGCTGCAGCCAGAACACACCTGCATGTGTCTAGGGCCCATTCCTTTAGTTTTAAATTCAGATATTTCCCTTCTATATTTGGTGTTACATAAAAAAAAAATTAGTGATCGTAGTCTCCCTTCAATTTAACTAATAAAGTAAGATGGATTCATGCCTTTTTTCTCAAAGGCATAATTACAAAGCGAACGAAACAGACTAGGCCAGGATTTGAACTCAGATTGCTGATTCTATATTCTACGCCTGTAACCGTTACGTCACACGCAAATCCATATAGAAATAGTCGGCTTTAAACTTTCAATATACTGTGTTTTAATTGTGAGATTGTTAAAAAATATTAAAGTTTGTTTTAATCTACCTCAAATCGAACACAGCTTGTCTCTTTCGGTTTTATTAGACAGACATATATTCCTATATTTATACGATTAATTTATACCGTCTGACTAATTCTGTTGGCTGGGAATTATCAGAAATTGTCGGTTCTTTTGTATTTTGATGCCTGCCATTCAGTCTTGGCCAAAAACTTGAACAATGTGTAGCTCACCACAAAAAAACGATATATTAACAAAGGCAATCAAATCGTATATAGCAAGCACTAATTATTCACAAGTAAATACAATATATGCTAATATTGTTGCTAAACAATATATACTGGCATCCCATTATGTCTTCAGAGTCGGTTTTTTATTTATTTATAGCGAGCCATAGCCGGAAGTGAATCTTATCGGTTGATATATTAACATCAAATCTAACAAAGATGTTATTCTGGATTAATCTTTGATCAAATTTTCCGGAATTCTGTATATGAAGTATAAAATGGAAATGAAAGAGAACAGGGAGACCTTAGTGCCTTTTATTTTCTTTGCAAGAAACTATATTGAACAGCTATTGATTTAAACTAATTTGGCTCTTTCTACCAAGTTATACGCTCTTCGACAACATCCGGCGTAGCTGTGGAAGTATTGAAGCTCAGAGGTTCTTGATAGGAGTCGGAAAAGAATGACTAAACTTTGTCTTGATTGAGTGGCAATCAAGTTATTAATTTGTAGACAATGATTTCCGCTTATGGAGACTGCATTGTAATTCCCAGCCGTTTCACGTTGAGATTGTTTATTAGGATACCATGTTGAAGGTTTCTTCTGTGGCGCAGGTATTTTTTCTTTTAGTGTTTCATTGCCCTGGCATGAAATTCTATAAGCTTAGCGCAGGGACGTAGATAATGATTCTCGGAATGAACACAAAATGTTTAGGCTTCCTTTGTATAAATTAAACTCTCATATAGAAACAAACCAGACACCCTCTAAATCAGGGGTTCCGATTTTTTTCTTTGCGTTATCCACCAGTTTTACATGGAAAAAATTCCACCACCTACCTATATAGTAAATATTGAAATGCATACCAAAATATATATACCCCTCTACACACACACACACACATATATATATATATATATATATTGGATAATATAGACATATACTACAGGGTGCGACTGGTATTTGAGGACATAAAGATTTAAGATTAATATTGCTTCCCACTAACTTCTAATGCTTTTATTTTTCAGAAATCAAGAATTTTAAACCTTATGATAACAAATGAAATGAAAAGGCATGCTGTGATGTTGGCATTAAGGGTTGATCATAGCGATTTGGATATTGCACGTTTCTTCAAAGTTGCAAGATCGTTTGTCCACAAGATATGAAAAGAGTTAGAAGACGCTGACAGTTCCCCAATGTCTGTATCAAAATGTAAAAGACATTCTGCACGTTCTGATAAAGTGAGAACATCCAAACTTATTCAGGAAGTCAAGCAGACAACTGATGAAAAGAGAGGTCAATCAATGAAGTCAATTGCCAAAAAGCTGCATGTGTCTGAAGAAACAATCAGAAAGAGTGTTCATTAAGACATCGATACAAGTCCTACGTGATGAAGAGAGGTTAATTTATGTCTGAAAAGACAAAAGAAAACCGTTTAAACAGATCCAAAAGGCTTTTTAACAAACTTAAAAATCCTTCAGAAGCTCGTATGATTTGGTTGTTCTCAGATGAGAAAAGTTTTGCTCAAGATCAAACATTAACAGAAGAAATGACAGAGGGCTTTGTTCAGATCCTTCTGAGGTACCAAGAGTGATGCGCACAAAATTTCTTTCAAGTGTTATGTTGTTAGCAATGAAGGGCATGTTATGCCATCGCACCTTTTTCCACAAGGTCTTAGAGTAAATTCTGCTGCTTACCTTGAGATACTAGAAACAGTAGTCAAACCCTGGATTGACAACATATGCAACGGCAGGCCTTCCATATTTCAGCAAGACTCGGATCCATCTCATAAGGCACTACAAACGTAAGAATGGATGGCTGATCATTTGTACGACCACATCACATCCAATATTTGACCTTCTAACTCTCCAGATCTCAATCCACTAGACTATTATGTGTGGAACGTTGTTAAGAAGGAGGTTAATAA